CCTTTTCTTTATCCATCTCGTACTGCCAACTGTCCTTGACAGTACCCACTATCACAATTCTCAATCAATCTCTTGCCACCAATGTTTCGGATAGTAAACATAAAGAAAAGAATTCACATAAAAAGTATCATTTCAAAATTACAAAACTCGTTCTTTTTCTATCAAATATCCTTAGTACAAAATTCATTTCTCAAATATTTATTTTCTTGAAATTCTTTTCTTTTCCCCCCAAAAATCTTTTGACTCAAAATGACATTATGCAATATGCAATATGCATTACTATTAATCTATCACTTCAAAAACTATTCTCAATCAAACTCTTCAAATACAATTCAAACAACTTCAATAGAAACATTCAATCATAAACAATCAACCATTTCAAGATTCAACTTTAAAACATCAAATTTATCAAAAAGTACAATCAAAAACCATATCAAATAACCTAAGGTTCCATGCATCAAAACTTATAAGTAAAGATCAATATTTATTCTACCATTATATAGACATGAATAAAATTAAACATCTAACCCATACCTATTTCTCCAAGCTTGCTAGCTTTTTCCTAATTTCCTTGATTTCTTCTTCTCCTACTTCTTTCTCTTCCTCTTATCTTCTTCCTTTCTTCCCCTTTTCTTGAAATTTTAGTTGTTTACTCCTTGTTTTACTCCTTGGTTGTGGAAAAGATGGAGTATTTTTGGGTGTTTCTTGGAATTGGTTTAGGTCTAGTTGTTAAGGGTTGTTGGTGAGCTTTTTGGTGTGTGGCTTCTCCTATTTATACTAGTCTCCACCTCCATTCTCCAATATTCTAGATGTGTAGATTTTTCTTGATATTTCCTAAGATATTTTATAACATAGTGATTAGGTGTCCATTTTGTAGATATTTATAGGACTTTCTAGAATTTCCTTGAATTATTTAAGTATCTTAATGATTAAGTTTCCAATTTATTTAATAGTTTGGTGATGAGATGTCCACTTTCTAGAATTTTGTAGAGTTATTTAGTTATCTTAATGATTAAGTTTTCAATTCATTTTAAGCACATGGTGATTATGTGTCCTTTTTCTTTTGTAGAATTTTATAGAACATCCTAGAATTTTGTAGAATTATTTAAATATCTTAATGGTTAAGTATCTAATCAATTCTAAATTTCTATTATGTAGAATTTTATAGAACTTTCTTGAATTATTTGAATATCTTAATAGTTAAGCTTCCAACCCATTTAATTATTTGGTAATTAGATATCTACTTTGAAGAGTTTTGTAGAACTTTCTAGAACATTGTAGAATTATTAAAGTATCTTAAAAATTAATTATAATTTTGAGAAACTAATATCATCATTAGAATCTTGACCATTAAAAATATAAACGTTTGTCTCTTAATCATCTCCTAATTATGTTAATTAAATAAATTAGGATTTTCTTATGGTTTTATCATGTTTGCTAATTGTCATTTGAATTATGAGCCTAATTGCAAAACTAATCAAATTTTTGGACAGTTCGCTCGGTTTTTTTGCCATATCTGGAGCTACAGGACTCCGAATTGAGCAATCTTGTCAGTACGACCGTACTGAATTCAGTATGGGCCGTACTTTTATCTATAAATACGTCCCTCCTCCTCTCATTCATCACAACATCTTCATTCCTCTGCATACTTTATCTGTGAGTGTGTTTGAGATCCCTCTGTACAGAAAGGGGTGAGGCCAGCAGTGGCCTCAACATGGAAATGTGCACTCTTTCGCATGATGCTCACCACACTCAACCCCTTTCTTCAAAGGAAACTTAGTCTTAAGATACAGACATCATTGTTAAGTATTGGGCTCCCTTCCTATGTGGAAAAAAGGCTCAAAATTGAGAAGCCCATTTAATGTCTTACTTAAATAAGTGGAGAGAGGGTCTGAAGCATAAGAGTGAGAAAGAGGGAAAGTCATAAGTCACTTTGAACACCAGCACTTTGAGAGAAAAGAAGAGAGAAAGTCATTCTCATTTGTACACGTGGTTGTGACAGTAAAATCGATACTGCAAATTCGTTCACTGTTGGATCGGGTTGAAAATTAGACAGTAGGTTCGTGACATCCGGTTCTTCATTCTGACCGGTTGGATCGTTGAAAAGAGGTCTGAGTAGGGAGATATTCAGTTTGCACTGTAGCTGTGTATTTGGGGTTTTTTCATCTTCCTTGTTCTCTATTTGTAATCTTTATTACTTTGTTGTTTAGCTGGGTGTTAGCACTATCTTGTGCAGTTGATTGAGACTCTTTTGTACTCTTTTTTGATCATAGTGGAGCTATTTCTTTGGTCTAGACGACTCGTGGTTTTTACCCTTGCTTTGAGGGGTTTTCCACGTTAAAAATCTTGGTGTCTTTGTGTGTGATTTTGGTGATTTATTATTATTGTTCATTGGTTGTTGCTCCTTACAGATTCTTGCAAGTTTGGGGAATTTATTTCCGCTGCGTTAACAATTTGTGTTGTTATCGTGTTGTGTTTCCCCATCAGAGTGGTATTAGAGCTTTTTTGGCTTTGGTTTGGAGCTATTTGACTTGCTTGAACGATGGAGGCAAATACTAAAATGATTGCTTTGAATGGCACTAATTATCACTTGTGGAAGGGCAAGATAAAAGAGTTGTTATTTGTGAAGAAAATGCATCTTCCTATCTTTGCTACTCAAAAGCCGGATTCTATGTCTGAAGAAGATTGGGACTTTGAACACCAACAGGTGTGTGGTTTTATTTGGCAATTTGTAGAAGACAATGTTTATAATCACATTACAAATGAGACACATGCCAGAACTTTATGGTAGAAGATTGAGTCCTTGTATGCTTCTAAATCAGGGAATAATAAATTATATTTATTGAATTGTCTGATAAATTTGAGGTACATGGAGAGTTCTTCCATTTTAGATCATTTGAATGAATTTCAAGGGCTCCTAGATCAGTTATCCAGAATGGGTACCAAATTTGATGATGAAGTTTTGGGACTATGACTACTAAATACTTTACCTGAGTCTTGGGAGACATTTTAAGTTTCTATTACCAACTCGACCCCTAATGGTGTTGTTTCTTTGCAAGCGGCAAAGAGTGGTGCTCTTAATGAAGAGATGAGAAGGAAGGCACAGGGTTCTTCATCTTAGTCTGAGGTGCTTGTCACTAAAAACAGGGGGAAAAGTCAGAAAAAGGAATCGAAGGGTGGTGGAGAAAAGAGCAAGAGTAAGTCCAGGTCCATATACAAGAATGTGGAGTGTCATTATTGTCACAAAATAGGGCATATACAGAGGAATTTTTTTTTATGGAAAAAAGAGAATAAAGGCAAGAAGGGTAAGTAGAAAGAAAAGGATCATGATGATGATGATCGTGTTGCTACTGCTACTTGTGGTGATCTTGTTATTCTCAGTGACCATGGGTCAATTAATCTTGTATCAGATGAGAGCATGTGGATTGTTGATAGTGGTGCTACATTGCATGTTACACCAAGGAAGGAGTTCTTCACATCTTACACTTCTGGTGATTTTGGAGTGTTGAAGATGGGTAATGATGGTGTGTCTAAAGTGATCGGTGTTGGTGATGTTTGCCTGCAAACCAACATGGGAATGCAGTTGTTGCTTAGAGGAGTCAAACATGCTCCTGATGTCCGTTTTAATTTGATCTCTATGTAGATGCTTGATGATGGTGGTTATGATAACCACTTTGGTTCTAGAAAGTGGAAACTCACCAAAGGTAACTTGGTTGTGGCTTTAATGTCTTACTTAAATAAGTGGAGAGAGGGTCTGAAGCATAAGAGTGAGAAAGAGGGAAAGTCATAAGTCACTTTGAACACCAGCACTTTGAGAGAAAAGAAGAGAGAAAGTCATTCTCATCCGCACCAAAACTTCAATACAATTGAATAAAATGATCTGCAATGATGAATGGACGTCGCCACCACAGTGGTCGCCGTTCAACGTCACCGGAAACACCTAGGATGCGTAGAAACTCGTCGTCGGTGGTCGCCTGAACGTTCTGCAAATAAAACCCTAGAGTGCGCACGAAGAAATGAATGAGGGAAAAGGGATATAACAAGTTTTTTACGTCGGACACCACGAGGTCTAATGTATATTTTTAAAATCTACGCCGGACTATATAGAGGGCCGATGTAGATTTTAAATTTCAAAAAATGCCACCGCATTTTTTTTACGTTGGATTTTTCGTTTTCCGACAATAAAACAGTGACGTAAATAACAGATTTTGTACTAGCGAATGTTTATATAGGTTGATGTTAAAATATTTGCAATGATTGTCATTGTCAAAAGAATCTTGTAGAATTATATTTTAAGACTTAATTGAGATCAATTATATCACAAAATGATTGAACGAATTACTATTAGAAAAGATGATAAAATTATTTTATTTTTAAACCTTAATTAAAAAACTTTATAAAATAATAAAAATAAATTTGATAAATTATATTATAATATAACACATACATACCCACTCTCATACCCTATGGTAAGTGAAAGGAAGCAATACATTCCATTTTTAGGGAGAGTCAAAAGAAAGTCGTTCTTTTTGAATGGGGTGAAGTATTGGAGAGTTACCCAGTCACTGTTGGTCCACTAAAAAAAATAATATAGTGACATACATCCTATATTGATACAAAAATTATTATTAAAAATTATTTTTATTTGTATAATAAATATAATATATGTTGATTTATTGTTAAAAGACGTGGATATAAGTTATAGTAAAACACAAAATATATTATTAAATTTCATTCAAAATTAACACTAAAATTGTGTATAATTATATGTCAAATAAATATAGATATAAATATATTATATCTATAATAACAATTTTTGTATGTTACTATATATAATATATTTCTTGTATTATACAAATTTGTTTAAAGTCTCAAATTTTCTAAATACGCCCATAAAAAAATAATGAATGTATTCTTTGAGTATCATTTTGGAAACAGATGACCTTTGATAATATATATTTCAAACTTATTAACAAATAAAGCAAGCAATTACTCTACAATACAACAAAGGGAAAAGAACATGAAAAGTAAAAGAAGGAAACACAATTTTTGAAGTACATTGTCATTTCCATTATTGTTGTACACTCATTCTGAAGCACTAATACACCACTATTTACCTACCTCCACTTAGATTCTCACGAAGGATAGGTTGAGAATCATCAATTTTTGCACCACCCACTATGCTGGTACTTGCTGAAGAATTGAAAAAACTTGTGTTTGATCCTTTGGTTGCAACCTCAGTCATGAAGCTAGTAACATCATCAAATTTCCAATCAGTCAAGTATCCAGGCCTCGATGTTACAGTGTTCACTTCAATATCTCCTAAAAGCATTGCTACCACACGGGACATTGATGGTCGTAATGTTGGTGATGTTTGAGTGCACATGAGACCTATTCTCACAACTTGTTTTACTTCTTCCTCATTAAAATCAGATAATCTAGGATCTACAAGATCAAGTACATTGTTGTTTTCGTGTAGATGCCAGGCCTAAAAGTAAGAAAATAGTAAGAATCATTACGCTGAGTCCCAAAAATATTTAAATTAATCAAAGATGTTAAATTTGAACGATAAATGCACAAATTAAGGTGCCAAAAAAATACTAGGGGAGTTGATAAAAACTGATTATTAATTATTTTTGAAACAAAGATATCTACAAGGTAACATTTAAAAATTGACAACCAACGTCGATCTTTTGACATAATTAAAAAAAATTGTAACTTAATTGCTAGTATGTAGTTAAGGGTTTAATTCTAAATTACACACACACATATATATATATATATATATATATAT